CCCCCCCTTCTCGCCATGGGCGCCACCCCCTGCCGTGTGCCCCTTGTGCTGCCTCCTGGGCTAGCCCGAGGGCGCCCCGGCCACGCTCCGTCCCCCGCCGCGCCACCAGACTCGCTCCTGCTTCCTCGCTGAAAGCCTTTCCGTGACTTTGTTCACGATACTTCAGTCGACGCCGTTGAACATAATGTCGACTGCATTAGGGATTGTCCAGAAAGTACGTCTGTCTTTCCTCAAATTCATACGGAAAATTGCGGGAGCTTATGGCGCCTGCGAGACGCGGGGTAGGCCACCCCGCAGTACACGCATGCACTGCAGGCAAGATGTTGCCTACCATCAGGCGCTAGTAGAGCTTGCGCTCTCGGACCCTGAAATTAGTAGGTTTGTAGGGTCCATTCCCTATATTCTGGAAGAGCGTCAATCGAAGGCTTCGGAGACAATGCCATTCAGTCATTGTGCAACTCATCAGCAGGGTGTGTTCCGGTTATAAGGGCTGTCCCAATGGTTGACCTGCTGATGTAGAGTGTCCACTCGTCCTCCCACCCTGCGTGGGGCTCCTCTCTCCAAGACAATGCTCACGCCCAGGCCTGACTCGAAGAGGTGGCCACTCTAACTTTCGAGAACCGTCCCTTCGACCACGGTGTTTATGAGCTTAACAAAAAGCTGCCAGAGTATAGGGAATAGGCCCTAACGGCGAATGACGGACGTTCTTTTCTGGATGGTCCTCTTACCAGGCAAACGAAAAAAGTTTCTCCTTCCGGCGCTTTGGCGCGGGCGCATTTAAGGGTACACACTGGTAAAACAAGTGTGCAATATTTTCACACCAAACGTGTGCAAGTTGTGATTTAGCACATTACATGGTGTTTAACTCAAGTTGCACCCGTTTTGTAAACGTTTAAATTCTGCACACCAACTGACGTATAACAAAGTTAGACACCACAAAGTGTCACTTGAACTTAAACGTCAATTGACGTGCCAAACTAAACGCCTGTTTTACTAGTGCAATATCATTTGGTCGGTGACTACCCCATCCGCGTCGCACATCCTATAAATGCTAACCCCTTTTGTAATAAAAGAAAAGGTACTCACCCCTTTTATCATGAAAGAAAAGGCGAAGACGCTGGGTACAACATTTGTGGGCTTTCCACGAGAATGTTGTGCGTGAGCAAAAGTCGGTTAGAGTCGCGCGCCAATTTAGAACTATGAATAATTTCGATCATTTTCATAAAAACAAAAATAGTGTTGGATTCTGCGTAAAATTAAAGGTACATCTGTCGTCTCTTGCGCGCGCCCATATCTTGGGCTGGAACGGAGAAAGCGTGTGCACGGCTGGCAGGCAGGCCAGCAGGAGCTTGGCCTGGCCCAGCAGGCGAGCGCCGTACAGATGCAGCCCGGCGCGCGCAGGTCCGTGCGGGTCTGTCTACCTGCCGGGCGCGCTGTACCCTCCCGTAGCCGAGCTGGGACGTGCAATGCTAGATCTTCACTTCAGAGGCAGCACTGTGAAAAATATCTTTGTAAATTTGCAACTTTTCGCGATTTGATTTACAAGTTGAGTTGAACATTTTCGAACGCGTTGGTATAGTTGCAGCAGTATTTATATATTTACAAAAGCAGTCATGCATGAACCATTCTTACTTTTACGTCAAAGAAAACTAAGCCAATTCATAATGGTTTTATAGTTGTTTTGTAGTTTTACAATGTCGATATATAAGTTTACAATTTGAGTTTGTAGCAATATGACTTCGCAACTATACAATATTATCATGGAACATTTTTCCGTACCTAAATTAATACTTTGCTCACGCTGTGCGATTACAGTTTTCTCAATTCTATTTTTAGACGAATTTTTAAAATGCTAACGCAAGCAGATAATTTTGGAGTGAATCCGAAGATCTAAGATAGAGCTGTTACGATCACCAAATATTTCGGCATACACACTAAAAGCTTATGAACATTTTTACGCATAGCTTCCTGAATTTTGTGTACGTGCTTTGCTTACGCATTTTTAATACGCCGGCATGAACAGATTTGTTCATACTGGCGTATTAAAAAATGAGTAAGCAGAGCACGTACACAGAACTCAGTAAGCTATGAATAAAAATGTTCGTAAGCAGTGTAGTGCTTTATGCAACATTAGTTCTATTTCCTGTCTCATCTCTTGGCACTTGGCATTCCAAATAGAATGTTCAGTCTTTGTGTAGGTTTGCCTTTCGTATTTGCTACAACGTCAATTATTTTCCTTTTGTGAAGTTGAAATTTATTGCATACATCGCTGCGCTTGATCAGCCTTTCACTTTCACCGGCCGGCCTCCCCTCCACCCGTGGCTCAGTGTCCTGGCCTGTCCGGGGGGTCAAAGGGACGGCCAGCTTGGCCCCGTCGGGCACCATATGGTGACCCAAATAGTGCGAAAAATTGCTCCCCAGGCGACGGCGGGGTGGTTGGATGGCTGGAGGGGGAGGAATAGAGGCCGCGGGG